GGTCTCATGGAAGATATCACACAACAGTGGCGGATCCAGGGGGGGGGGCCCGGGCCCCCCTCCCCCCTTGAGAAAAAAAAATCACGTAAAATCACGTGATTTTTACGATTTTGGGGGGTTGGGCTCACTACCCCCCCCCCCCCCCCCCCCCCCCCCCCCACTGAGCGAATTTTTGGCCGGCGCGTTTTTCAAATTTTCGGGAGCAAAAAAAAAAAAAAGTTGGGCCCCCTCCCCTAAGAAATCCTGGATCCGCGCCTGTCACACAACCACATAAAATAATAATAATAATAATTATAACTAAAAAATGACGATTCTTTATATTTTCGTTTAAAAAGAGGGTGGGATAAAAAGGGTCAAAGACAGAAACTACAAATGTTTCACAGACTTTGAGTACATTTTCTGACTGATTTGAAAAATTAGCTAATACTCTGTAATTGTATAAATTGAAATATGGATATGTAGGAACTGTGTGCAATCAACCCCTGGAAAGGTCCAAAAGAGCTCTAGGGTGACCCAGAAGAGCTCTGTTAAAAACAATGAAATAAGACAAATATTGCTTCAATTAAATCTCTCTGTAAGGTACAGTAGCATATATCCAAGGAGCCCCACCCAACCAAAAAAAAAAAAGTGAAATCACTGTGAATGACAATGACAAGAGAATGAGATAACCTGCAACCATGGACTTTGCCACTTTGACAACCTTTATCACAAACTTCTCCCATCCACCTGTCATTGATATATTATTCTGATATTTCATATTCCATAGAGATAGGGGTTTGACCTTAACAAAGTTCACTGTTCTTCCCTCTACGATGAACCCTCAACTGAAAGGAAGTTTGAATAGCAAGATAAGCAGACTGATACTAGTTACAATACACAGATGTGCTTTCAAGTTGAAGGCCATATATCGTCGCTGTTTTCACGAAGTGACGGTAGTGAAAAAAAATTGCATTCACTTTGCGTTACGATTTTCCTCACTACCGTCACTTCGTGAAAACAAGGACGATATATTCATCAAGAAAGTACCAGAGTACATGTGGTAAGAAATGATATCATAACCTAGTTTATCTTTCAGACATGTAGTTCTAAAAAGCTATATTACGTGAAATCCATTGAGTGCCAATTTGCAAGTAGATATAACGAGGTAAAGGCATTTTAAGATGAAAATATGAAATCTATATCAATCATTAGCCTCTGGCTACTTGACTAAGGGAGAAAACAATCTCCTCAGGGATGCCAGTTAGAATTAATCAGAGGGCCTGAAAATCACCTAGAATGAGCTTTTTTGTACACAAACTAAACTATGGTCTGAAAATAACTCATCAGGGCCTAATTTCAGGCTATTGCCTGGAATCTAACATCCGTCTCCTGTTTAAGGTAAAACCAGGAACTTTTACAATTTTAAACTTTTATAAATCGACAGCCATTGTCGCCGCAAGAAACTTTCAACCATTGCAATGAGACACATAAGAGAAAGAGATAAGACGGAGGCAGAATAACTTACATTCATATTGCATTAGCTACATCTAAGAAAGTCCATTGTCACAAGATATTGATTAAAACCCTTTTAAAAGCCACAAAGTGATCAATTACCTGTTTAAAACACGTTTTGTCATCCTAACTGTAGTTCTTACATTCTGCAAAAATCTTTTTCAATCAGCAAGTTCTTCATCCGCACAAATACAGTGTACACACTGTACATGTAGAGAACCCTAGACAGTATATCAGGATAGGATTTCCTCCTTTGAGTTCTGAGTTAATGTAAGTGGTATTCACCCATCACTCACGTACATGTACATGTAGCTGCAACCCTAACCCTGCCAAATACGGAAATAAGCCGAGGCAATTTCTTCCTGTAGTGAACAGGATCCTTTCAAAGTACTTCTACAGAATTCCTTGAAGGAAACAAAAACCAAAGATGCAGTTGCATGTCTTTTAACATCTGAATTTCTTAATGTAATATTCTTATGACAATGTAATTATGTTTTTTGTTCTCATTGTACAGTACTTGCTCCTGATCCTGTTACAAGTGCTCCATGCCACTTTCCTGTACTAACCAGATTTTCAACTTCAACCCTGTTCCTGACACTAACCCTAACCCTAGCCCTGGACTGAACCTAAAATCCAATTGCAACCCTAGTTCTCACCCTATTCTGTACTTTTGGTAAAATAAAACCTGGAGCAATTGTCACTAGAGCAAATGTCGGTCACCAATCTTTCGCCTATATTTGATCTTGGTAGATGGAAAATGTAGTATTACTTCAAGAAATGCCATTTCTTGAAGGGAATTAACCATATTCTAAGTTTGTCTGGTAAAAGAGGATGGAGGGCATTAACTCATACAGTGTAATACAAAGTTAATGCCCTTCTGGCTGATGAAGAAAACTTAATTTATGAGAAGGAGAAGAGAACAAAATATTCAGTCTGCAATTGGTGAGGTTCACATGACAGTCTGTTCACTTTAAGTTTAGGTCATGGTTACAAATATTTAAGTTATCTTGTATTAGGATCGTGTGGACACACTTATGTTTACAAAATAGTTACAAATTTGACTCAAAGTTACAAGCTATTACAAATTTCAAGGTTAGCATGATAACTACGAGCAGTGGCGGGGGGGGGGGGGGGGGGGGGGGTCACTAAAAGTTATGTGCCATGCGGACACGACCTTGTAGTTAAAATGAATGCCTTCCCTGGATTGACTTTGAATATTTGTTTCAGTACCGTGTGAACCCTCATTAATGCTTAATAGTACTTAGTGGAGCATTGTTTATAACACAGCGCCGTGTAAACATAGCTATTGATGTGCATGTGTGCCAAGCAGCTGGTTGGAAGATCAAAAATGATTTGCTTCTAGAGTCTATCACACATGACCGTGACCTCGGAACATCATCTGTCACTAGTAAGAGCCACAAGGACATTAAACCATATTGTTTTAGAAAGAGCTAACGTCCATCTGACTCTACACAGATGATACTTTGCCACCTGTCATGCTCGTGATGCTACATGAAGACCTTTGTTTCAAGGCTTTCTCCAAAACTAGCAGATCTATGCTTCACAAAGTACGCTCTATTCGACGATGTTGTTTCTTTAGCTCTACATACTTTGAAGGGGTGTACTCTAGGAACACAAAATTAATGCCCTTCTGGCTCCAAAAAGACTATATCGGCTCCTGTAGCCCCATATAATTTAAATTGATGTACTTGAGACAAAAACAAAGCTGTCACGTTTTTGAACTTGCACCCATAACATAAGCAGTGCAGCCTCAACCCAAACAAACAGCACACACAAACTGCTGCAGGTACATGATGTATGGCTGTGTTCTTCATAATTTTTTAGCCCAGAATTCTGGTTTTGAAAAAAAATCTCAAACAAAACGCAGTCACGTTCATGAGAATGTGTGCATAGGCAATTGTGAACATGACCACTTTCAGTTTGAGAAGATCACAATTCTACACAGGGTAAAAAGAAATTTTAGATATATTTCTGAGTGGCAAACACCAAGCTTTAGCTATGTACAAGGTCTATGCAAAATAATGTACTCCAACAATTAAAGAATTATCAGGGCAACAGTCTTATCTTGCATCCCCCCCCTTACATAAAATTGATCATTGATGGTAACTTTGCCATGAAAATTAACTACCATGGCAACATCGTTCAACAGCCAATCAAATCAAGATCTCCATGGAAGTTACTATCAATGGCAAAGTTACCTTCAATGCTATTTATGCAACAGGGGCTCAATTCCTAAAAAGCTGTCTTAACTCTGGCTGAGTACAGGTATGGACGCAGCCCAAGTTATTGTTCTCCCAAATCGGCTATTGGGAGGTGCTGATTGATGTTGTTTGGGGTCAAAGGTCATTTGGCGTTGACAGAAAAGAGATGACAGCTTACACTACAGGTAACACCAATAAACTTTGAAAGTTTACGAGATCCCTGCCATCAAACCCTAAAGGATGAAATTTTCTGCATCGTTAAGAATAAACAAGAGGTACAGTTAATGACCAATGGGAGTCCATTTCTTCAAACAACAAACAACAAAACTGTGAAATATTTATTCTGACCTTGACCTTGTTCAGGTTTAAATGTATGACCTATCAAAATATAAAAATCAAAGTAAAACTTTTAACCTTTTCAACTGTAACATTTCACCAACACCCACTAAAAGAAATTACAAAGTTTTGAATGGCACTAGTAGTGCTATCAACTCAAGTTGTCTTGGCAAATTGTCATCTAATAATCCCTATGGCCAAAAAGATTAAAGCAATCATAAAAGACAAGATCCCTTAATTTTTTTCAAAAATGACTTGTTTAGGGTCAAATAAATCTTCATGCTTGGGCTTCTAGAAAAGGTAACATGAAGCTCTTATCAGGATTTCCTCGCTTTCTGAATCAAAAAGTCAGAAGAATCGGACAAGATTACGTGAAGCAAATTTTTTTCCAGGTTAGATTAAACATCTTATCTCAAGAGTTTGAACATAGTTCAGGCTATTCAAACAGGATATGCTGAATATTAAAAAAAAAAAAAAAGTTTAATGTTGTGGTAATTAATTTTTGTTAAATCCTTGAATTTATCTGTCTGCAACTCATGTCATATTCCTTGTATTTCCTTGTTTCTGGTATAGTACAGCTGTATTGTACAGACAAAACTGTTGCTGAATTCAAAGCTGATCACGTGTTGAATATTTCTTTATTTTTAAAAAGAAAGAAAAGTGAGGCAATACATTCAAAATTGTGTTCTGATAACAGGCACAGATCGCAGGAATATATGGAATTCTTATCTACTTGAGTTGCCTTCACTGGTAAAGCTGATATGATCTACTCAGAATTTTTCAACATGAAGTGAACAAGTCCGTCTTGTTGACAAACTTCTAAAAAAAGTGAAATACAAATACAGTAATATGATTTGATAACTAATAAAAACATCAAACAAATTCAGATTCACTCAATTCTTAAGATAAAAAGAGAGAGGCAGAGAGAGTTTGCACAAGGTTGATACATACCATTTTCTTTTTGATTTATCCTGCCGAATATAAACAAATTCAAAGTCCGAGTCCTGTCGCCCCTGTCGGGATTGGGAGGGGCTCCCGGACATACTGTCCACAATGCTATCAGAGTCTGAGCCCAAGGAATGGGCGTAGCAGCCATCTATCCCATCCCCTGTCCCTCCCCGGAGCTTAAGGGCGAGCTGCGAGAGCTTGGATCTGATATCCAAGTCTGGGTTAAAGGAGGCAAGCTTAGAAGGTATCTTTACTCTCATCCTAGTCGTCGACTTTGAAATCCTGGCCTTCACTTTCTTGATGCTGAATGACTTTCGGAGACGCTCCCTGTCAAAGAAAGACAGTCTGGCTGCGGTGGCTGCCGCCAGCTTCTGGAGCCCGTTGTTGTCGGTCATCCAAACGCAGTTCTAATTCCATTCAAGCAGATTTACTCCTTCTATGCTACTCCTTGCTGAGAATTGACTTCAAGAATCTTCAAAGTAGTTTGTACTGCTGCAACAGTTGGAGCAGAGTCTTGAGGCCTCGACACCCACCTGATCTTGAGGGAGTCGGCAGGTACTATGAAATGTTTGCCCCGCTGCTAACCATAAACATAGCTATGTTCTCTCACGCTTTCTCAATATTGAGACCGCTGCGATGTGGTGTTACATAGCTGACTGAAAGCTGGCCCGATTCCAAACTCTGATGTCAGATTCATGTAGTGCGCTAGTCCTGTGAGGGGTAAAGAGGCAGGTCTGTAATGCACCCCCAGCACAAGGGAGAGTAGAGTTCTAGTACACGCACGCTATACCACCCTGTGGCATCTACACCGCACTTGCAGTGAAATGCAGGGCAGTTGATGGTTCTCTACGGAACTGAGGGGATCTACTCTCTCCCTGCCCAGCTAGTCAGGTAGGCTGCTCGACCCCACTTGAGATTCAGGTCAAGAACAAAAGGTCAATTCACCGAGACGAGCAATGGGAGTTACCCCATGATGAAGGCAGACTGATTAGGCATACCCCTCATGATAGAAAGCCAGGCTCTATGATATGTAGTGTAATGTTTCCATCTAAACTAATAAAATGCAGATGACCATGCTATCTGTTACTTCTCCATCTTATCTTGTAATCGTCAGTCTCTAGCTTATTCTCCTCTCCAGACTCCTCTAATGGTAGAAACTACAATGCACCGCTGATAGTTTGCAATCATGAGAGACTGCAGCAGAGTTCCACCGGTTTAGCAACACTAGAGTTAGAAAAGCAGAAATGTTTGTGACCAATTCTTTCAAAACCAAGAAAACGTAAATATAAACTATTTATCATTACAAAAAAAACAAGCATACCATTTCCATCTTCAAAGTACTAAAATTCCTTATCTGTCGTTTATATTACAAAATATTATCACTCACTATCAATAGCGATTAGCATCTTAGTTCAAACTTTGAAGCATGTGTTTTCAAAATGAATATATGGTAGAATTATATTTCTCATAAATAATGCAATCTTATTATCACATTACATGTATGTTTATCAGTCATCTTTTTGAACAAAATTACCAGGCATTAGAAATGTACTTCAGAAAGGAAATATAAATAACTTGTTTTCCTTCTTCAAGTTTTCCTTAGACATCCAACAAGTTCTGAAAGAATTGGTCACATACATATCTCCACAATGTCCACAGAGGAATAGACAGACAACCCAACACCAATGATTAATATGCTCTAGTATGCGAGATGATCTGAAGATAAAGAGGAATTAGTTTGAATAGTGCAAATGGAATCTTAAATGGAAGGATGAGTGGTTTAGCTTTCGAGAACCACAAGAGAGTTTGTCAGTACACAATATGTTCAGAGACAGAAGGGCGTTAACTCTGTATAAAGAATACAAGTTAACGCACTTCTGGCTCCAATCGGCCGTTACCACTTACTTACAAGAAGAGGAAATAAAACAAGGAAATTGTTATGGGTGAAAGTAGGTTTTTATTACATCTCAAGAGTATCAAGTTTTGTTGTAATTGCTGATGATGTGCGATTGTAGATTTGTTCTATAAAATTTAACTACTCTTATCTTCTTGTAACTAATTGAAACTGTGTGTTCAAATGTATAATTGCACCCCAGAGTATGATGCATTTACTCAGGTACAAAAGTCAACTGGATAGTCTTTTCTTTAATATACATTGTATTTCTTTCATTTTGTAGGCCTTTATTTTTCCTTCTTTATATTCAGGATGCTACAATTATTAGCAACTGTGAACAAGTCCATTTTAACTTATTATCTCCATGACTTACATGTCAGAACTATTGCTCATCAAAATATTCATATTGTTGATCAATAACTGTGAAATTGGTTAATATATTAAATGTCTGCATGCACAAGACTAGCACACTTTTCCTTTCCATCCATAGTTGACAAGCGGTACAGTACAGCAGTGAGGCTGTGGTCTCCATCAAGACCTTACACATTTTAAAAACATGACAAAAGTTTACGCATACAAATGATATGTGTCTGGAGGCCCAGTTTTACTTTCCTGGTATGGACAGTTGAGGTTAATAGGAAATTGAAAGTCGGCTAACGATTGAATAGTTTAGGCTTACAGTTACAGATAGGTTTATCCTGCCACTTTGTTCAATAATCCCCTTTACAACTTGCTTCTTTGTCAAGTCTTTCGTTTCCTCTACCCACTCCACAAATAACATGCGACCAGAAGAATCAAGATTGTAATTCCTCTTCAGCAATCCATTCAACTCAAAAAGGTTATGACCTCTACACACAGTGCTATCACAGCACTCATACATGTAGTTTATTTGTAGTATTTGCATGGTAACCAAAATACATAGGCATTAGACAGCTATCGTTGGCTTTGGTTGATAAAACAGGATCCTCTAAAAGCCATAAAACTCTGTTCTTTCCAAGGTAGAGTTAGAGGTGAAAGGTGAAAACATTTTATCAAAATCTGGGTATGAGGTACATTACATTCTACATTCCTTAATTTTGTGTATTTCCCTGATTATTTGTTGAACTAACCCAGAAGATGATTTGTTTGCATTATGTAATAACTGAAATCGTTATGATCAATGTCGCAATATCAGAAGATAAAAGGAAACACAAAAGGCATTTTTCACATCTTAGAAATACATGCAAGCTAACGTCAACTCAAGAGTAAGAATTATATGCAGTGGAGGGTATATCAAGGGTGTTTCTCCACTATAGTATAGTTGAAGTTTACAGGTGTGTGGTCCTGTTAAGTCTTCATCAGCTCGAGTTTGCCAAATAACCCGCTATTTTCAGACTTGGGATATTATCCCAAAACTCGAAATTGCATCTTAACTAGACCGATATGCCAGCTATTTCCCAAATAGCGGGATATTTGGGAAACAAGACCCAAGATTTTTAAGACCAATATCTTGCTTAGTGCAACTGCGGGCTGATGAAGACGCAAATTAACTGGTTAATTTGCGATCGGGATATTTAAAATAGCGGGTTATTTGGCAGACTGATTCGAGCTGATGAAGACAGACCTATAATGGCACTTACATGTAAGAGGCTTAATAAATATTAACCAACTTGAAGATAAGTACACATGGCTCCAACTCCTCCAACTACAATATATTTCAAAACTATTTAACTCCATATAAGCACATGAACTCTCGTCAATGTCAAACTGAGCAAATCACAAGGGGAAAAGAATTGCATTGTTTTGAAAAGAAAAGAAAAGAAAAATGACAGACATTCATTTTCAGGATAATTTCAACTTGTATACCTACTCCATTGGAACTACTAGTCTCAAACCAATTACACTAAAATCCTCATTATATTCTTCATAGAAAAAGACCTAATCATCTCCTAAGAATAATAAGAGCCTAAGGGCTCCATTAGGGTGAAACGATACAAGTGCCCATCTGTGTATTTTACTTTCTGTTTAATATTGATTCTACAATCTTGTTCCTCAGGCTTGTCAATAAGTGATGTCACAATGCAGATAACTTGAAACCATGCTGGATCCAAGAAAGGGAGGGAAAAAATACAGTGCAAAGTTTAAATTCTAATTTTAACTGTGATCTTCCTTTACATTATTAAACACGATAAGGTATCATAATCAGCCAACTGTGGCTGTATACATGTATACCAAGGCTGCGACGTGTACACAGTTCTTCCGTGTACACAGTTCTTCCGTGTACACGTTGTTGGGTTGACATGTTACTTCTAAAATTGAGACTGGCCAGAATAATCCCCAGGGAGTGGAGCATGTGCACTATCATGTGTGGATTTGTTATTTAATCCAATAACCGACGTAACAATAATTATAATGTAAAGGGCTTAGAAACGTATTATTAAGCGCTCTACTGTTGTCACTATTAATATTGTTCTTTTTAATAATTTGACTGGACTCTTTGGCTAGAAGGAATTCTAAACCAAAATATTGTTGTGATTGCCAGGCCAAATTGTATGTCAACTTAACTTCCAAACATTTTTCATATAATTTTATGACTCACATGACCATTTGTGTTTTAAAATGAAACATGTTCATGAATGGATTCAACATGCCTTATTCACATACATGTACATGTACATGTGCTCACGATCTCCTTTGTAAATACTATTGAGTCAATACAACGAGAACAGTTGCCCGCTCCCAACGTGTGTAAAGAGGGTGTTTATATGGGCACAATGCAATGACCAAAGATTACTGCACTTTATCAAAACTGAACAAGTTAACCCCCTCATTAGAGTCATTACCAAAAGAACAATTTGGAACTGACTTTCATACATGATGCCTCTGTTTACGGTAATATGAAGATTAAACTGCATGTTATCAAATACCTTGAGATCTTTGACCTTTCATTTCTCTCCTGGTGCTGTATCGTCTCCTCTATAACGATCTCATACTCATACACTGTCTCCACACAGAGCTCCATGTTGCCATTCCTACGCACAACCTCCACTTTGTTAACTAGTCACATTATGAAAAAGTACTTGGTCCTCTTCACGAGAACCCCAGAGATTATATGAAAACCTTCAAAAGAACAATGACACTCTCAAAGCAACGATGTGGAACTACTCCTGCTGCTCCGTGCTTCAGGTAAACATAGTATCGGATGGGCGCAACGTACAGCAAACACATTCAAACCTTGGTGATGACTTGACGAGAAGTTCAAGCATACCTGGGCCGGAACGAACGCAGCATCCTTGGAGGAACAGCCGACCAGGTGACTAATTCCTCAACAGTATCGCCCAATCTAAGGCACATCTCTCCCAAACCCAAGTTGTCTACATGTATCTTGTTTTGATTGTTTAGGGCTAATTACAGATGACCTTTGGAATGTTTCGTCCCTGCGGAAATAAGAACTCATAATTCAGTTTACATCCGATGGAGCTGTCCGTACGTGAGCAGAATTAGCCAAGTTTGGATTATTTTTTAGGTGACAGGAGAACAATCTAAATTGGTGAATCCTGGAGATGCGAGCATTGCATTTATTGGGTTGCCAATGCCACCAGAATGACAAGGACTTGCCTTGCTTAATCAATACAGATTAATTCAGGTACTTGCCATCATTTATTTCTGGATTAACAACATAACATGTACTTCATATCTACAAACAACTGCAGGTGATATTTAATCTGTATTGCAGCATTCAGCTCTGCTACCTGCTAAACACTTTGTGGAAGTATCTTTTCTTGAGCTTAAAAAAAAAAACCTCTATAAGAATGATATGAACCCCACAAAGTAAGCCAGTTCAGTACCTCTGTATTACACAACTTACAAAATGCATATTCATGCTATGCTGTTTACAAACCTACATGACCCAGCTCTGACCCCAACAGACATACAACAAAAGCTCCTTATTCATCATTTGTCTGCATGCAAAGTGTTCTATTCAATAAATCAATGTTTTGGTAGTGCATACTGTTCTCCATGCTATGAAATATTATCACTCTTGGGGAAAGTTGGTTTTTTGTTTAGTTCATTCCTGACATCCATGCTAAGTACTGAGAAATAAATAATATTGCCCTCACATGTTTATGAATTAGAATAAGTACTTCATGTGGTAATTTTTTTCTCAGTTGACTTGCTGCTAAAACAGCTTTTAGTCAATACATGGAATTGTGAGATAATGCTTTGTTTACATCCTACAGTATGTGAAAGTCATAGTGGCAATAAAAGAAGAGGTTTGCTCTTGAAAAGCTCTCATGTATCATAAAATCACACCATATTTTTGGCCATATGTTTTGTAGCCCCATATGCC